TGTAATTTAATATTGCTATAATAGCTTTACTTTATGCTTAATTACTCTTACAGCTTGTAATTTAATATAGTCTGAAGATGTCTTGAGTTAAGACGAAACGTTACTTAATCTTTAATAAAATTTTTAAATTTATATAATTTATATATCAATAGTTCGTATCTCCACGAACAATGACAGAATGACTGAGTTTCTTTAAAATACAATGAAATTTCACTCAAAATTCTGTTTGTTTCAAATTGGAAGTTTAAAATGGCAATAAAACCTCTATATAAAATATGAAAAAATTAACTGTCTTGAATTATTTTGTCGGGCGGTACATTTATATTGTATAACGAAATATAAAACGTCAGTTTCATGAGGATTTTAAAATTCAGTCGGGCGGTGATGAGAATCAAGGAATTTATTTTATGTTGGGCAGTTGAGACTTGGGAGCAGCTTGGGAGTGGCTAATTTTGAATATTTACTTGATTAATGCTCTATAAATAGCGTTGATGCTTCAGGGGCGGTAGTTCATTTACACCCAGTTTTGCGGCAGGCGGTATTTCCTACGTACCGCCTGCCATGCAGGCTAGCAACCCTGTGGCAAACAGTGGCGACATTATTGGCGACATTGCACATCAGCACATGTTTCTGAGTATTGTATTACTGCTTTGTGGAGGAAATGTTTTGCAGTCAATGCGGCTGTTCTTTACTTATTAATGCAAAATTTTGTCACGTTTGTGGTCAAGACTCTTCAGTCAACGAAAAGCCTTCTTCCAGTGTCGATTGTGATACAGGCCGCACAGTTATCCCAACAGCGAGCTTAAGATCTACAACGCGAACTTACGACGCGGACGTCGCATTAAACAAGTTTTATTTTAAAACGATGGCAAATTCCATTAAAATATTTTTATCACAGTAAATAAAATGAAATTATACTGGAAAAAATGTACAACATAACAGAGGCTAGCAATATATTAACAAGATATTTTTTATCATAAGTTTTTACGACTTCTATGACGACGAGTCTTTGCAAATATCACGTCGTCTCGGATGGTAGTTTTGGCGGGAAAATGTGCATTCGTAACAATAGTCTATAAAGTCTGGTTTCTATCATTTCATATGGCTGTTAACGTGTCATCACAGTGTCACAAATCTCAAAGAAATAAACTCTGACAACTCTGACTAGGCTTACACGCGAAAACTAGGCTTCGGTAAGCACGTCCGCGTCACAAATTCGCGTTGTAGATCTTAAGCTCCCTAATATCAACAAATGCGACAACGCCAGCATCAACAAGTCAATCGCGGACACCAGTGTCCTTTAACGAATATCGTCAGCGTAAAGAGAAAGAAAGAAGCTCGAGATTCAAACCAAAAGCAAAGAAAGCGAAGATAGAAAAGAAGGGAAACGAGAAAACGCCCAGTGAAGTTAAGATAAATATTGCTCTAAAAAAACTTCGCGACAATGATTTAAAATTCGTTAGAGGAAGTTCATTGCCTCTTACAGTCTGCCCAACTATTGGTTCTACGGAATTGCTGAATAAAGCTGCCGAGAAAATCGTAAAATTTAACAGCGATTTAACGTTTGGAGCGTTTGGGTTTACTCTATTGTACCCAGATCGAACCAAAGTTATTAACCTACCTGGTAGTGAGGAACCCTTTACCCTGGAAAAATACAAGAAAGATATTGGAAAAGCATACACACGTTTGACGTTCTACATTTGCAAGACAGAAGATTATTTGGAATTTCTGTACAGGCCATCATACTGCAGTGACAGTGACCCTGACTTTGATATTATAGACAAGGTATTAAATAATTTATAATTTACATATAATTTTTATACATTAACGGGATGGGATCACAGAGTACTTACATACAGAATTCTCACTTCAGGATAATTTAGCCCGTTTTAAGTCACCCCCCTGAAGATGTATTTGAAATTTAATGTTCCAGGGGGGTGAATGCCTCTTGTTAGGGCACTTGCAAGAACATGGTGTCAGTCTGGGACTGTGCACAAGCTAAAACTGCCAGCTATTTTGGTAAATTTTTACGACCTTTACGGTTTTCCCACAGAAGTGAGACCTAGCTCTGTAAGTGAGGGATCTGTGATGGGATGGTGGGTTTTTGGCTAGTGGTTTATGGCATCGCTCAGCAGGTAACGTTACTGTTAATAAATTGCCAAACTCTGGCACAGGATGAAACTATACAGTTCATATGACAAATTTATAACAAACCTTCAGACGTTCAGTTGATACTTCAAGACGTTCAGTTGATATACTTCAAGACGTTCAGTTGATATTTCAAGCAAAGACCTTGTAAAGTTAACCTGAGTAATTTACTAGAACTTTGTTCTGAATCCTACTATTAAAATTATCAACTTTCGAAACAAAAATTACTCAAATTACACACAATATACTTTTCTGTGTACTAATGTTTCCTATATTCTCTTTTACATGAAGTATTTAACATAAAGTAAACAAAAAATCATTAACATAAATTATAAAAGTATATAAAATGTCAAAACCTTTTCTACAGTACAGGCTATTTTTCTGGGAATTGGTAGAATAGTTTCAAAGTATTGCTTTACTGTTTAGTACATAGCCCAATCGGGCATGACAGGAACTGGTGGACCCAGCATGACAACAATTGGAGAATCCAGCATGACACCAACTGGAAACCCCAGAATAACAGCAACTGGTGAATCCAATGTGACAGCGAGTGGTGAATCCAGAATGACAGCTACTGGTGAATCCAGCATGACACCAACTGGAGACCCCAGTGTGACAGCAATTGGAGAATCCAGCATGACACTTGATAATGGTGAAATCAGCATGACAACATCTGGTGAATCCATCATGACAACATCTGGTGAATCCATCATGACAACAACTGGTGAATCCATCATGACAACAACTGGTGAATCCAGCATGACAACAACTGGTGAATCCAGCATGACAACAACTGGTGAATCCAGCATGCACACAACCGGAGAACCCCAAATTTTTGTAGTGGACGAAGACGTATCAGGATCAACAACTGAATGTAAGCCTGCAATATTAGCCCTTTTAGTTTAAGTGGCAATGTGCTCTGATATGCCCTACATTATTATTTACTTTGTGTTTTGAAATTTGCCACTGTTTTAACAATCACTGATCTTGGAAGTAGAGTGACTTTGCAATTAGGCACATGCAAATTGATCACAATTTTCATCTTGCAAAAACAGTGCTACATGTAGTATCACCAAAATTAACAGACAATATAGCCCATCTTATGCAGAGGCATGCTAAACTTTGGGGGGATGATGTAAGTTGCAGCCAGGCCTTAAGGGTAATTTGTCCTCTTTGCTGCCCTGTTACTGTGAGTTTGATGTTAAAGTGGTCATAGAGGAAAATGCTTCAAATCAATAATTCCATGCTTGCCCACTTGGCATTAGGGTTTAAAATATATTTATAATATAGCGTTTGTAAATTCTGAACGCTGATTGGCTAAGAGCCGTGTTGATATAATGTCAACACGGAAACGTCCGAAAATTTCTTTCTTTATGTTTCTTTGTGCTATATATTATAAAACAAATATAAAACATTTTTTCTGTATATTGATATTAAAGTTATATCACACGCTTGGCATTTTTTCTTCAGAAACGTCCAGTTCGTTTTCGCTGTACAAGAAATTCTTCAATTTTTAGTCTTCTTCTACAATATTTGGCCTTTACATAGAAAATATCATTTGTAACAATCTGATGTTTTTTGTTTTTGAAATTGTTACATTTTTGGCGGGAAAATAACGTGACGAAATTGGCGCCAAAAATTTATATAATAGATATCGGTTTTCTTCTGAATAAATCTGAAAGAGCATACTGTAAGAACCTCAAATGTGAAGTCTGTTTTGTAATGGCCCAATTCATGGCGAAGATATAGCTAGTTGAATTTCCAAAATTCGCCATTTTGTTTCTAAAAATAGAACAAAATGGCGGATTTCTTGTGTTTTGAATTGATATAACTTCGTAATGAATAGTCATGATTTAAAACGGACTTCAGATTTGAGGTTCTTACAGTATACTCTTTCAGGTCCATACCGAAAATCAGCTGTATCTATTATATAAATTTTTGGCGCCAATTTTGTCGTATTATTTTCCCGCCAAAAATGTAACAATTTCAAAAACAAAAAACATCAGATTGTTAGAAATGATATGTTCTATGTAGATGCAAAATATCGTAGAAGAGGAATGAAAATTGAAGAATTTCTTGTACAGCAAAAACGAACTGGACGTTTCTGAAGAAATAATGCCAACCGTGTCAACACTCGTGGAAATTGGGAAAACGAGAAATTATGTGGAAACACAACGTATATCAACACGGAAAATGTATAACTGTATATCAACACGGAAAATGTTTTATATTTGTTATATATATACATATATATATATATAAATACATATATATATATATATATATATATATATATATATATATATATATATATATATATATATATATATATATATATATATATAT